CAACTGAGTCATACTGCACTCGCCCAACACACAATGAGGATTTTTGTTCTGCTTCTTCTGAGAAAAGGCAAGACTGCAAGCCATCTGTTGTCAAACGATGCGTTCCAGATGAACATGCCTCCACTTGAGAAACAAGACATGATGAAATTAATAACAAGTGTCAAGTTCTCACATTTTACATGTGAGGCCTCTTTCAACAGATGGCTGATTATTAAAACGTTGACTTAGCTTTATAAAAGACCAGCTGGAGTTTGATATGCTATGAATCAACTATTTAGCCCTGATCTTAACCAAAACAAGCAGGAGAAGCAGTTTAAATCTTCTCACTACAGAAAAAGTCGAGGCCAAATTAGCTGAATCCCCAATCTGCAAATAACTCGGCAGCAGACAAACGCAGCAATAATCTCACCAAATAGGTTGTCTTTGGAGAGGGCATACAGGATCCTGGAGGCCCCGATCAGGTTACTCATGGCAGCAGAAATGGTGGAGGAGTAAATCCCAATTGTCACCAGTGGTGGCCATATATTGATGTCTCCCAGGAAATTGTAGTCTTTTTGGAGAAGGTTGCTAAGGACAAAAGAAAGATGTTAAAAATAGACCACATTATCAAACTTAATGTGTTAATAAAGCCAGATAATTTTTAAGCATTGACATTAACCGATTTAAGTGACTACAGGGTTCTGATTTTTTTTTATTATATATAAATCAATAGCATTCAACGGAGCACTGCTTAATGTGTTTGACTGTGTGAGTGTGTTTTACCGTTCACAGGACCCCGCAACCAGCAGACTCAGCACATTGTATGTAATGAAAGTTGTAAGAACAGCAGCAAGCGTTCCTCTTGGGATGGCATAGCTGGGGTTTTTCAGGTCACCTGGAAATCAGATAACAAAAATTGATTATTAAAAACAGACTGTAATCTATTAAAGCTATAATCTGCTATACATCTGTCAAGTACTGTGTCTTCGATTGTGGGTTGGATCCACCAATTTCCCACAGTTCTAGACCTGCCTTAACTAATTTTTAAAGGCTTTTCTCCAAGAGGTTGCAGAACAATTTGGTTTACATTTATTATTGATGTGAAATGTACTTTACTAAATCCTTTTCCCTCAAAGAATGTATTTATTGAGGTTGTTTGAAAGCCATCTTACCTGACATGTTGGATCCTGCCATGATCCCAGTGCAGCCATTGAACATGACTGCAAACACTTTGGCAAAACTCATCATGGCACCAGTGGTGTAGTCTACTGTGTAATTGGCTAGAAGGAGTGACAGGAGGCCGGATTAGTTATACAAGTAAAGGCTCACTTAGACAAACTAACAGGGATTTCTGGCATGCTACATACATTGTTTGCTTCTTCTGCTTAAATAAATCAAGTCCTCGATTAACATATTAAAGCTAACGTAATCAAAAGGCTGTGTTTTCTTCAGAACAGGTCCAATATTGTTTAATAGGTTTTATATAGGTTTAAGATGATGAAAGCATAAACAATTCTAAGTTAATACATCTGACAATATGAAACAACACTTACGCAATAGATTGCCCTCAAAGGTGTGGCGCCGGAAGCCAGTATAATTTGCGGTTCTCGTGCTGGTACCGTTCAGCCCAGAATTCCCAGGCAACATCACCACAATGGGCCCCACAATGATAAAATTGATGAAGATAGTAGTCAAGACTACGACGAATATGATGACGATAACAAAGGTGGCTTTGGCATATATGTGGGCTCCCACCTGTAAGGACAGGCCAGTTGGATTTAAGAGTTATCAATCAATCTTGCCTTGATGACAATTACATTTAAAAATTGTCATTACTTGTGGCCTATGGACAAACTTAACAGTTTTCAAAACTCCGCTAAAAGTTGAATTAATCATCTAAACATATTGTGAAAATTACCAACAACAAAAGCATCTAAAAAAAAGTTTTGTATAAGCATGTGCAGTACAAATAATAATAATAATGAAGTCTCACCAAGCAGACAATGAAACAAATGAAAAGCAAGGCAGTGCCGTACAGCAGAGACCACCAGTATCCTGAGGGCAACACCTGGAGACCTGCGACAACTGCAGTACCCTCTGAGGGACGGCAAAACAGGGTTTATTGGTATATCAAAACACTCATGCCAAGATGTCACACCATGCCCTAACATACTTTACCTTCTGGGATGCCAAAAGTAGACATGATCGCCTCAACCAGACCCAAAACATAGAGAGCACTGCCGCACACATTGGCAAAGAAAAACATGATCCCAATGCTGCCACCAAACTCTGGACCAAGGGCTCGGCTGATCATATCTGGGGATCCAAGTTAAGGGATTATTTGTGGAAAAAACTACGATTTGACAAAATATGTTAGGTTGATAGACATTAGGGCTGAACGATTAATCGATCTTAAATCGAAATTATGCGATTATCAAATCGCATCATTTCGATGCGATTTAAAAAAAAAACTTTTTTATTTTCTTCTTGTGTGTCAGTCATCCACACCAATCAGAAGTGCTGTGCTCCACATGTACCAGCCATTGTTAACCAATCAGAAGTGACACATGATAGGTGATAGACAGATTAATCCAATCACCTGCCAAGTATTTTTGAAAGTGCCTGCCCTTTCCAAATGGCTTCCAATGGAGCTTTCCTAGATGGTTTGGTGAAACAAACCATCTGAGTCAGGTTAGTAATGCTCCATCACATGTTTTACATCTATTACAGAGTGAATCTTAAACTGAAGCTTGACTTTAAAGCAACCCAATGGAAGTTTCATGTACATTTAGTTCTTTCACAGCTCGGGCTGCGGGGGTGCTTGAGACGGGAGCACGTTGATACGACCTTCCTAGCCGGAGATATGGCCGCATTTTACAATAAACTTCCGTTGGGTCGCTTAAAAACAAATATCGCAAATCGAATCGTAATATCTGTCAGAAAAATCGCAATTAGATTATTACCCCAAATCGTGCAGCCCTAATAGACATGGTTACAGATCAACCACCTGACAGATTTAGACCAAACGCAAGCCACACAGTTGTGGATAAATCAAAACCTGGGAAGAAATTAAAAGCAGGAACTTTTTTCCCTTAATCCATTAGACAGGCTTAATCAACAGCATACACCCAAGTGAGGCTTTTACACAGCAGCAAAGGATACAGTAGGCTCCTCCAGCATCTAAAGCCCCATTGGTGGAGATGGCACAGACGGAAAGCACTGTCATTGTGATAATTAGGTAGGCCACTAGGAACATCACAATGGACTGATAGACCCCTGCTTGACCCACAACAAACCCTACATGAGATGGTAGGAGGAAATCGGATTAGTAATGTAGACCAATGTTCAATTTAGGCCTGAAGCGTTACTCTGTTTGCAAGTTACATGCAAGATCATTTTACCGATTTAATTTGTTTAAAGTAATTTAATCATATTACATTATTCCACCTGTGTCTAGTGATGGAATTAAGAGTAAATTACCTAAGGTTCTTGGGAATTTGGACAATTCATTGGACCAAACCAAATAAGCAAGCTGAAGTTGTTATCATGGGTGCTGGGAAACTTTGATTAGTATTTTTCACATTTTAGCTAAACATTACATTTATCATTGATAAAAGACAACGGATACATGAATATGTAGCTAAGAAAATAATGGATAATAATAATACAATGTTGACACATTTAAGTGATATTATTTGCATTTTATCTGGACTTAAATGTAGTTATGGTAGTCATTTTCGAGGCTTGCAGCCACTACTAAAATTAATATACAATTTCCTTGTAAGCCTCCACCACCTGACTATTAAAAAAGAGAACACACCACACCGCCAGCCAATTTAACCGGGAGGAACCTTTTTCAAACTATTCGTTCATTTATACATTTGTTCAGTCTAACACAGCATTTCTGGGAAATTAATAATCAAACCAAAGTTTAACATTTATTTGCACTCTTTTACTCACCAATTCGCAGAAATACAACGACGCTAAACATGGACAGTAGCGTTGGTACGACCACGCCAAACACCACTCCGAGCTTCCGGTCGCCCTTCTCCTTGGCCCATAGACAGCCTATGCCCGCCTTGGCCTTGCTATGGTCGTGGACATTTTCCGGCTCCGGGCTGGTGCTTCCGCTGGTAAGTCGGTAATGTAGAAGAGGAGTCTTTTCCGACATGGTAGATACGTTAGTAATAATTAACGATACATTCAACTCGCTGGTTTTAACTGAACAGCACAGTTTCAACCGGCCGTCTTCTTGCTAGCTATGGTGACATTTTCTAACGTTCGAATCAGCAGTTAGCTAACTTAGTCGAGTAACCGTCATAAACCTCCACCTACCCTCATCACCTTCTGCAAGTAATGAGGGAGGGTGTGCTCATGATCAGACGACACCGCCTCCTGTAATGGGCTCATCCAATCAGTTCTAGTTTCTCCTTAATTAATCCACCGGTTACTTTGTTTAGCATTTAGCTAGCCCAAACACGCTAGCTAGCCTACCTACATAACTACCTTTTGCAGTTTCCTGCCTGAAAGACTGGAACAACTTTCTTTTGAATGTGTAACTACACTGTCATTTTAACGTAGTTCCAAACAGCTCTGTTGCGTTGTCTTTGTGGATTAAAACATTGCATTGATTGAATCTCATTCCTATGCATGAGTACTTATTATGCAGATCGGCCCATTTCAGAATAATATATTATTTTCTTTATAAATTAATGACTTTGTATGCTGCAGTGTAGCTTGTGAATGCTGATTCAGGTGTCACTAAAGTCTTATTTAATCTTATTACACTTCACATTATTAATCCATCCAAATCTGCAAAGTAATTTAATGTATTAAATTGGGGTAGAAGTAAAAAGTAGCAACAATAGGAAATACTCAAGTTAAGTACAAGTCTCTTTAAAATTGTCTTATGTGCAGTACTTGTGTAAGTTTAGTTACTTAACACCACTGCTAACTACCTAACCAGCTAACTAACTAAGCACAAAATAAATACAATAATTATTCCATAAATGGCTGTATAAAATCATAGTTTATTGCATATTATATTGTTTTGATAAACAACTAAATAATGTCCTCTTAAAATGACAAATCTGGATATACATATACAAATTCACTGAGGCACGCAAGATACATTTCCTAAATTAAAATATGAAATACATAGAAAAAGGCACAAATCTACAGCAAATCAATAAACTTTAAAATAAAAAATGTAAACAGAGATATCTAAAAGTGCAATGAGAATAAACAGTTGCTCTCTAAATTCATACCAGGAACACTTGACCAGTCGGCATAAATCCCCAGTAAGTGAACTAGATTTTTCAAATTAAGCAAATGTGCAAGGGCTTGCAGTATTTGGATATAAAACAATGTGAAATACAACTATTTGCAACTGGATGGTTTGTATGTTTTCCACAGCTTTGCAAACCTTGCTACCACTAAAGATCACAACAAATCTGAAAAATAAAATGAATCCAAATCAGGTTGACTTTTTGCAGATTGTAGGCTTGTAATAGTTCCATTGGCTGAGAACAAACTTTAAAGCATCCATAGTTTAGTAGATTCATTAAAAAGAACTGCCTTTCAGTTATACATTCATTTGTCCATGATACTCTAATTGCGCTTAACGACCAGCAGTAAAGGTTGTATTTCTTCTTTATCCTCTTAAAAAGTTATACATTATATAAATAAAGCAAACTTTTCACCTATACAATATTTGAGATCTACAACAAAGTGCATACACATGTGGAACAGGGAAAGGAGAATATCCAGATCTTTCTGACAGTTTTGCTCTGTTGGATTTTCATTCTTCTTTTATCGCCCTGGGGGGAGCAGTTTGAAGAACATTAGGTCCACTTTATTTGTTCATATGTTAATTGGAATTGCATCTGTCTTCCAGGTTAATGACAAACCGCTCTAGTTTGCCTGAGATCAGTTGGTTGTAGTTCAACAGGACTGTGCTCAGACTCTGGGTGCTTCGAGGAACACATGACAGTCCTGGACTCACTGCTGGCCCCTGCTGGTCCAAACAGAAAAGATCATTGTTATAACAAAACCGAACATGAACAAAAGTGAAAGAGGCCATCCGTGTTGCACTGTGTCTCACTGGGAAAGTATGCACTGCTATCTTCTTCTTGTCCTGAGGAAGGAAGGCTTGGGGTCACTAAACATAACATCATCACTCCCAGGGCACATAGTATCTAGTAAGTCACAGATTTATGAGAAGCCAGGATATTTCCACACCAGAGGAAACTGATAATGGCTCTAAATCAGTGAGAGAGAACTCCATCAACACGTTTTCACTCACTTTGTGTGAATGTTCTTGCCAGATTCTGTCTGATATCAGGCAACATGTGATCAACACACTGATGCATTTATTTGCCTTTCTTTTTGTGTGAGTTGCAGACTGAGTTAACTTTGATTTGGTGATTTACAGGCTAAAAGTTTCCAAGAAGCTTTTTATTTTCTATATTGTGTACAACTTGATTTTCTAAATTGTGGATTAGATATTTAAATTATTATATGTATCCACAACATTCAGACATTTTCCATCTAAATCAATAGTAGTTTTAACCTCCACATGTCTACTAATCTCCAACAAATCACCAAATCATTGCTTGTAATCTTATTTGCGTGCAGTTTGTCACTGTGACTGCCACCTACACTCAGCTGAAGCTGTGTGAGAATGAGCAGGTAGTTGTTGATGTTGTTCTCCAGTCTCTGCAGAAGTGAAGCAGCACATCCCGGCTGGCTTTGGGCCTTGAACACCTTCACACTTTCAACAAGAAGCTTCAAGGATGCAATGATGTCTCCTCTCTTCTCCTGGTCCTGAGGTATACAGAAATATGTTTTAGAGGACAATTTAGAAGACAATCGTATTTTTAAAGACAAGTTAATTCTCATTAAACCAATAGTAAGCAAGCAAGAAAAGCATTGTTTTGAGGATTTTGGACTCAACTATGTGCCAACATACTGATCTGTTTTCCCAAGATGCTACGTGAAGCTCGGTACAGGGTAGCTGAACCGGGGTGGAGAGCGTTGTCGAGCCATAACATTCACTCTGCAAGGAAGGGAGACATGTAGGAGACAATTGATAGATAACTTGGACTAGGGAGAGACAGGCTGATGGGAGACATGGGTGAGAGAAGCAGAGAAATGTTGGTAAAATGTATCTATCCTCACCAGTGCACTCTTCAGCTCTGCCACAATGTTAATAGCCCGCCTGGCACCTTTATTACACACAAATTCTATGGGTTTTGTCTCAGCATCCCGCAGTTCAGAGGCTACCATAAAGAGCAGCAGGAGTCCTGGGCAAACACAAACACACACTAAGCTAAGGTGCCACAAGTCAGCTTGTACATAGCATTAAAATCTTCGTAAATCAAACCTTTCAGACTCACTGCTTAACGCCATGCCCTGCTTGGCCACTCCCGATGAATCCACATTTGTTCCATTAAGAAATATGCCAGGTGGATAATTCCCTGTGTCCTCTGTAGAGGAGCTGTGTGTCCTTTTTGTCTTCTCCCCACTTGATATCCCACCTTCTCATTCAGCAGTCGGAAGTGCAAGTGTTATCTGGAGAACAGGATGCGCATCAACTTTCCTGCTGCTCAGCATAACAAAATGTTACAGACTGAAAATGGCTTTCATTGATATTAGCGGGACTAGTTTGCTTCTCGTTTGGCCAGGGTTGGCTTTCCGGGCGTTGAGTGGGCTGCACTGCTGACTAAAAGGTTAATGATTTATTATTGTGAAAGACTCCATTTGCAAAGCTAACATCAAAATCCCGCCACTACTGCTGGAGACTATTTACCTTATGGCACAATTTGCTCCGGCCAATAGAGGTAGCAGCTCAGGTTCAGAATCAGATAATTCACAAAATTGGTGTCAGAGGAAGCTACAGCCCGCAGTGGGAGGCCTTTTTTCTTCATTATAGGTGTTTTATACAGCTTGTTGGTTGTGTTTTAACTGTGTGTGTAATACAAGTTAGGCCTGCTTGGAAAATAGTAGTATAATTATCTAAGGTATAAGTGTACCAGATGGACAGATTTTGTTCATATTATAATTTTGTAACTTATTTTGTTGTTATTCCACTTAGATTTTCTCTAAGTGGAATATAAGTGCTTCATGTATTCTTACAGGCTTCTGTTCTTTGCATGGGGGACAAGGTGAAATCACTGACTGAGTGATTACCCTTCAAAGGATTGTTTAACAGCCACACTTGCTGCATTTATCACCCAGGAGAAGAATTGAACAAGCGGTCTTCACCCGGATACACATCCCTCGGGTTGTAATGCCTGGAGGGCACAGCTGGAAGAGGCGATGGGCTCCAATTCAACTGACATGTGGGGGGTTGAGGAGGTATATTAGCTGTCAACGACATGGATAAGAGAAAACATGAGGCAATGCACCATCCATCCTCATTTCAGACACACTGTTCAACACCATCACCCCAGCCCAGCCTGGACATTGACTGAGCCCCTGATCATTTCTATTTTGCCCAAGACGTTTATTTGTGTCATAATTAAGACGCATGCTCTCTAATATTAAACCCCAAGAGTGTGTGTGCTGTCACATACAAAAAGAGAGAGGAGGAGAAGCAGAAAGGAAGAGAGAAGAGAGCTTCAACACTTTACACGTGCTTTGCGTTCTCCCCTCCAAGCCTCCTGCTATCTCTGCCGACAAACCCCACCGCCGTTAATTAAGACGAATGCGCGCCGCGGCTCCGCAGACAATGACCGGAGCACATGGATTTTTGCACACGAGGATCAAACTGCGGGCCATGGCACTGACGGTACCAACATTGCATCACGGACACGACACCCGGTACCCCGCTGTCCTCTCCCACCTCAAGTGGAACAGATGAGTAGACTGTAGCGTATTTTCCTAGAGTTTATTTGCCTCACAATCCCATTCAGCCGCGCTCTCATACTGCTAGATCGTGTTGCTCCTGGTCTCCAAAACAGCCAGCAGCTGCCTGCTCCGCTGTGCGCTGTTTTGGAGGCGCAAAACCGGTAATTACGCGCCGTGTTGACAAGTTTGGCGCGGTGCTGCATGGTTTGCGCATCAGCGACTGGCCAGTTTGTGGGATCTACCAAGATTTTTCTCCGGTGGAGTGAAGTGTGATTTCCCCGGGAACCATTCGGAGACCTTCGTTGCCCGATCACAACATCCATTAGTGTGCTCACTGCAACCTGTAGCTGTGTGCCCTTTAATTTCAGTTTGTATTCCGCCAAGGCACAATGGAGGGACACAGCTGACGGTTTTGAATCCGTAGCCCGAGGAGAAGAGAAGAAAAAGGAGGAGGAAAACAGGGGAAACCGTAAGTATGTTTCCTCTCTCTTTTTCTCTTCAAAGTGAATAATGCATTTGTGTCTCCAGAACTTTGTCCATATCTAGCTCAAGGGCAAATGGTAATTGAAGGTCTGATTGTGTTATGGTGTATTTGCTGCTGTCCTGAGGTCATTTTGTGATTTTTTTTCTGTCAGGTGATGCCAACATGAATGACATTTGAAAAACTTGCCATTCAAAACAGAAAGGGTGGTTGTATGTTGCCACCAATGACTAATTTCATTTTAATTCTGGAGAAGTATTGCAGTAAAATATATGAGAAAATGCATACATTCATGCCTTTTGTAGCTGTGTTTTTCTTTCACTGTTACTTTCAGGCCATGATGAAAACAAATAAATAATGGAAGGTAACACATTTTCTGAGACTTTACCTCTGACCAACAACCAAGACTTAGCTCTCTCTACAATGGCACACAATTAATTTACATCTAACTATACCAATCCATCACCTATTTTAATCACAACTATTAATTATTCAAACAATTTTTAATAAGCCCTGGTAAATGGAAGTGCCTATTTTCTCATGCACTGTCATCGTCGCATGGATGTTTATTTCTTTACAGAAGGACCATTGATCTTTTTGTTCACTATGATACAGGCCTGGGGTTATGTGTTTCTTGCTTTTGTATTTTTTTACCAAACCTCCATGCAAAGGTGGGTTTATATTTCTAAAGAGTCCTGTAGAGATGTGGGTCAGTGTGCTGCTGCTCGGGGCAGCAGATCACCTAGTTATTTGCTGTCGGGGCCACTGTACCCCTTCCTGTCTGTCTGTGCCTGCCAGGCCCAGCTCCCTAATAAAATGAAGTCAGTGACACTCTTTACCCCCAGTTATGAGAGAGGGAGATAATATGAGGACAAGGTGCATACGAACCTGAAGTGCATGAATAATGAAATGTTTGAATTATGTATTTGTCAGTGTTGGCTTTTGGGTGAAATCCCTCCCATCACTCAGCGGTCTCAGAGGCCTTCGTTCATTCAGGTGCATGCCGACCAGGGCTTTGAACTAGTTGCCTTGCCAACAGCCAATCATTCGCAGGGTTGTGTGGGACCGTTTTATCTGTCAGCCAGTCACAAGCAATGACTCCCAGAAGAGTGAAGTCTTTTAACCTGTACAGGATTAGAGAGTTTGATATTCAAATGAAAGCCGGCCTGAGACCAGTTGAATGCATTAGTGACCTGCTGCTTTGGTTGTACAATTTAAAAACAATGTTCGGAGTAAGTATTGGTAACAAAGTATACTTGTTGGACTCTGAGAAAGTTATGAACTCCAGAAATGTTTAGTGTCCTGCATTTCTCATCCAGCTGAGGGCATATTGGCAAACATGAGGGATGTTTGGCTCTTGGAAAAGCAGCAGCAGTGAATCCTTGGAGCACTATCTTTCAGGTGTGAGTCTCTCTTGGCACATCTTCAGTAATAGATTTCGCAGCCAATGAGTAGCACCTCCGAAAAGCTTTTTTTTGATGAAAGCCCAGAGGGTCAGGGGCGGTTCTAGGGAGGGGCCAGGGGGGGGCAGTGCCCCCCTAACACTGACCTCTGACTTCCCTGTGGCCCCCCTAACAATGAAAAGTTTTTTTTAAAAAAATTTTTTTTAAATGTATATTTTCTGGTACTCGGTTTGCCAAAAACCGCAGGATTTTGTTGCTGTAATGTGAGATTGTGCAGACACCCTTATGTAAAGTAGAGATGTAACTGTTCATTGCCTTTATTTTTATATAAATATGGTGTTAGTGCAAACATTGCACTATAACTTAAGCTGAAGCAAACAGTAATAACTATAAGATCTATCTGAAATAAATAAGTGCACTGAAACAAATACCAATAACTGTATTGCATTGTTTTCTTATGCGCAATTACTTCATACTGTCTAGTTCTCTTTTTCGTCCTGCATTTATTGTGCCCCCCTCAGAAAATAACTGGCCCCCCAGTGCCCCCCCCCCCCCAGTTCAATTGGTCTATAACCGCCACTGCAGAGGATATAGCTCAGAGTATTGAAATACATGGCATCTATGAAAAGGAAGTGATCTGAGAATATAGCAAACCTTCATGTGGGAGCTTTCAGTGTTGAATACATGTTCTCTGAGGTGATTCTGCAAGCTCACACACAGACACTGAAGTCCCTTTTCACACATGCAGTCTAGCCCTGAAATGTTTATGGAAATGTCCTGAATGGGGTCATATATTACCTTTTTATTATATCGATAAAATGGAATCGCTTAGAAGACTATACCTCATTCTTTATTTTATAATATACCAATTTGAAAATCTACTTGAATACTGAACATTTTAAACTCAAATAATATAAATGCAAAACCGATTTGATTATTTGGACATTTATAATATAACTCCAATTGCTTAGCAGACTCCAAAGGCTTTTGTTTTTGTTATTCTTCCTTTCTTGCCCTAAATGTTGTTATTTGATGTACAATATGTTGTATTTTTATATTATATTTATAATTAATAATAATATTCATATTATGAGCTATGTCTCTGTTGAGCTTTATGGCTATTGGCACAAGTGTTGCATTACCGCCATCTACTGGACTGTCCCTTGTCCCATCTATTCCGGCATTGCCATGTCCTGTGTGAAAGGTGCAAAACAAAGATGTTCCTGAATACAGTGCATTTGTGAACACCAAAAATCACTGGTTCCTTTAAAGGTTATTCTTGTAATTTACAGAGAAACTAGTTGTGAAAGAGGCTAAACACTCTAGACAGTTGTATGGCATATAGCGTTAACAGGGCATGTTGTGGTGCCCATGAGCATGACACATCACTGCAAAAATACTTCTTATGGGGCTGTTAGGTCGCCAAGAAGACTTTTGTCCACCAAGTGTCCCCACTTGAACATGAGGCAATCTTTAAATTCCGACATGAAGCTTTAATACTCATTCTCATTCTGTTGATTACAGGTTTGTACTGATGCATGACCACCACCAATTTTGTTCTGAGACTCTACATTTGTAATATATAGCTTGCAAAAGGAGGTAATTTAATACATATAGTTGCATTATGTGATTTCTAAGACACATCAAATGTAGGGAGCTTGGCCCAATGGGAACCAAAAGTCAGTATTTATTGTCTTCTGCTGCATTGACACAGATCAATCTTTACTTGTCTTCTATGAGACCCATGTCTAAGAGGGAGGCCAACAACTAAAACATATTTTAATGGATTGGGATTCGAAAAGATTATCTGAAATACAGAATTATAAACTGATTTACAAAAATTGTACCACTCTCCTTGAAACTAGGCATCAAGGTGAGGTAATGGCTACTTATAAAGACACTAATGGGTGCTCAGAAAAACTTCTTTATTCGCTTACTACCGCGATTTTATTGATGTTGTAGATGTCTTTTGACATTGACAAAGCCATGCATCCTCCTGTAAAAGCCTCACCCTTGTGAATTACTCATCACACTCAATCACAATCAATCCAGTGATGACTCAAAAAGACAGTTGAAAATACCACGCAAAAAACATCATACCTTCACATCATAATTAAACACATCTGCACAAACACACAACTACTAAACTCCAGTTACTCCAGAGAGAGACAGCAGCACAGATAGTGGAGGAGGAGGCGGTGTTTAGCAGTCAACCCGCACCAGCGCTGCTGCGAGGCGCCAGCTACTGAGATACAGCCTGCTCTCATCTGACACACACACCCACACACAAATAAACACACACACACACACACATCGAGGTAGCGGCGGCGCTTTCCATCATGCAGGAGGGCTGATAATAAGAAACCTGTTACACGCCGCTCGTGTGATGGCAGGCAGTCGCGCCGGGTCGCACACTAATTAGCGCGCGCTCTCGTGGCTCCCGGGAGTTTCGGATTGGGTGACTTTAATGAGGATATTGCGGCAATGGTGAAGGACAAGGCCGAAAACCGGACGCTTCAGTATCAGCAAACTTTGGTGAGTTTCGGATGAGGTCATAGTAGATGATGCTTTCAGTCATCTGTCAGTCATGTATCGCTGTCATGGAGGCCGGTTTGGCCGCAGGATGGAGGCTCAGCTGCTGCTTGCTCAACTGTGTCCTGTTCGAGGGAAAGGATAGCTTTTTATGGAATATTCCAATAAGATATCAGAATAGCTTTGTCTTTGTTGGCAGATTGTGTTCCCTTTGTGTATGTTTCACTGCAGCTGCTGCTTTTCATTCATTTACCTTGATCCACAGGTGTTGCATCAATTTTTGCCACTGCATGCTTTTTATAATTCAATTTAGACTTAACCAAGTCAGAACCATTTGCTATCCTCAACAAAAAAAAAGCATGTACAGTATGGCTATCTTATGTCAGGCCTAACGGGTCATTATTAAGATGTGAAAGTCACTGAAATATGAGATTAAAGCTTTACTCTGCTTACTGAACTCTAATGTATTTTGCTCATGTCCTGTGTCGTCCTTATCTCCTACATTTATCCTGCAGATCTTGTCCCTTCTCATGCCCCCTCATGTATTCTTCTATCATCTTCCCCTCAGCCCTTCCTGCTTTTTAAAATTGACCCTTTACTTATGAACTAAAAGTGGAGTGTTTCTGAATATTAATTGCTTCATGCACCAGTTTTCCCCACTTATGTCCTGGCTGACAATGATACCCTGGAGCACTCCACGCAGGGATATGTATATTCAGATGAAGGGACAGACAGACAGGATGGCAGTGAGGCAAATCAGTGGATTAAACTGTCCTTCCACCCTAATTTGTGAGTCTGACAGTTATCTATCATCTTCCTTTCTTAGTTTGTGTATATATTTTCACATGTGAAAAATCTGTTAGTATGTTTTTGTGGTATATAGGTATTTTTTCGGCTTTCTGTTGTGAAGATCAATGCTGCGCTGTATGTCTCAGTGCAAAAATCAATAGTTAATGTAAAATGGCAGTCGTCTCTGAAGATTGGAAGTGGAACGTGTCGTCTGCCCCATCCCTTTCCTTTGACCAGCACTCAGATCAATGGCTTTATCATTCACTCC